CCCCACATGTCTTCTCAAATTCGTAACCAAACTCGAGTTAAAAATTAAAAACATGAAAATATTTAAGATTTTGTTTTCTATCATAAAAAATAACTTTGTTCAACTGAACATATTTGGGAGGCGTTCGGTCGAACACCCGAACATATTTGGCTGGGGGGGAATCATAAAAGTAAAGAACATGTTCGATGTGCCACTCAGATCTTAATATTGTTGAATAAGTTTATTTAATTATTTTATTTTTATTTTGGTTATGATATCGAAGATAAGATCATGACAAAAGTTGTTTGTATTTTTTTATTTACAATATTTTGTTTTTCATATTTTTATGAAGTTTATGTTTCATGGGAAAAAATCCTATTTTCCACACGGCTATATTTCTCATATCTGGAAATTTTCTGGAAAATGCATCCGAATTCAAAATTCCGGATAAAATGGATATGTCGAATATCTTGTTTTGCTACCTAGGTTTTAAAAGCATAAAATATTATATGAAGATCAAACCTTAGTTGGTATAGGTATAACTCCCATCACAACAATAAAAAGCCGAATTGATTATTCACTTTCTATGTTTCACGAGCAGTTTGTATTTGAATTTTTATTCATAAATTATCTTCATGCCGCAATATTTTGAGATCTTATTTCCTTGTTAGTTCTATTTTTTAAACCACTGTTCCCCCTGACGCCAGAAAACCTCAGGGCTACCGGTAGCGCCGTTTCACGACGGCTACTGGTAGCACAACATGGAAAACCGGGCGGGCCTCCATACAGAATTTGCGATAAAAATCAGAAATAAACCAAATCGGCGCGACCACTATTTCGCCGTCAAGATGATTTGTTTTTTTTTTTCCTCATATTTTTACCTGAAAGATCACGACCTAATCTACGGACCCTCAAATTTTCAGACATTTTTCTTCTGAGCATGAAAAATCGGCGAAGTGCCCGCTTGCAAAATGACGGGATTGGACCCGTCGGCCTCCGTAATTAGAAATAAACCAAATCGGCGCGGCGAATATTTCACCGTCAAAACGATTTTTTTTTTTTTTTTTTTCTGATATTTTTACCTGAAAGATCACAACCTGATCTACGGATCCTCCAATTTTCAGACATTTTCATGATTTATTCTGAGCACAAAAAATCGACAAAGTTGCCGTTTGCAAAATGGTGGGATTGGACCCGTCGGCCTCCGTACAACCCGGCGCCTCCATACGGTCGCCGCCCCTCCGTACAACCCAGCCCTAACTCACAGGGACTAGGGGGTTTTAGTGGCGGGGGGACTGGTGGTTTAATAGGATAATCTTATCCCATTTTTCTTTGTGTGACATCTTTTGTTTTTTTTTTCCAATAGAATTTTTTTCAAGAATTGAACAATTAAGTTTCATAATAAAAATATTCTAAAAATTTATTAAAATTTTTATTTCATCTTTAAAACTGTCATTTTACTTCCAAAAAAATTGTCTTACTTGAAAACTTTCCTTTGAAAAATAACGTATCTCTATATGTAGGGTTATCGCCATTCGTCTTTTGCTGAACGTTCGAACCCAAACGACCGCATGTTCGGGACCGTTGTGTAAAAGCTCTTTCGAAACCCGATTATTACTTTTTCCTTTTTTTTTATGTATTGTAGAGGGGGGTCTCTTTACAGTGCATATTTTTTCATTTATTTTCAAAAGCGACGAGAAAGTTTTCGTGTTGACCCCTCCCTTATGAATTAATCAATCAATCATTCAATTAATCAAAAAAATAAAAAAATTACAAACAAACACAATGCAGCGAACTCGCGAGCGTGTGTATGTGTGTATGTGTATGTGTGGTAGTGTGTAAGTGTGTGTATGTGTGCAGTGCTGAAGGGGAAGGGGGTAGGGGTGGGAGTGGGGGGGGGACCCCTCCCCCATCGATCAATCAATCAATAAACAAAAATAACAAGAGTTAAGGAAAAAAAAGTCTCGAACGTGCGGATGTATGTCTGTGTGTATGTGTGTGTGTGTGTATGTGTGTGTGTGTATGTGAGTGTGTATGTGTGTGTGTGTATGTGTGTGTGTGTACGTGCACATCGGGGGGGGGGGGGGGGGGGGAACCCTTCGCCCACGAATCAATCAATCAATCAACATTTAAAAAAAAACAGTGCATCGAACGAGCTCAGGTATGAGTGATGTGTGTGCGTGCAGGAAGGGGGGGGCAACCCCTCCCCCACTAATCAATCAATCCATCAATCCATCAATCAATCAACCAATCAGTGTGTCCAATGCGTGAGGGTGTGAATGTGTGTGTGTGTGTATGTTTCTATGTATATCAGGGGGGGGGGAAACCCCTCTCCCAACAATAAATCAATAAAAAAATTAGGTGATTTAGGCTACTAAAAAGGGCCACGACCACTTGCCCGACCATAGCTGGAAAAAGAAAAATGTTTTTAATTTGGTAAATAATTTTGATTAGACCCTGATGTAAATATTGCTCAGTTTATCTTTCTGCAAAACATAATTTATTTTCAGAGATTTTTTTTTTTTTTTTTGCTGAAATCTTATTTCGTTTTTGCACGGTCGGGCCGCATGGACAAATAAGGTGTTCCGAGCGGCCCAACTGGTACCATAAAAAATAAGTTGAAACAAAAAAATACAGTGAGTCGAACACGCATAGGTGTGTGTGTTTGTAGGTGTGTGCATGGGCAACTTCTTTGATTGACTTATTGATTGATTAATAATGTTAAACAATAAAATTTAAAAAAATAGAAAGAGAAAAAAAAAAAAAAGTTTCTATGTTTATTCGCCCCCTCTAGCTTTGATAATTTCTAACTTTTTTTTCCTCAATGGAATGACCTGAAAATAGAAGGAAAGGACCTTTACCAGATGAAGTGTCGGTAGTAAATAAATAAATTAAAAACAAAAAAATACGTTTCTAAACAGGGCTCGGGGTTTCGTGGGGCCCAAACCCCTGCGGGGATAGGCCCCGGGAGACAACCCAAATGACCAACCGTTTGGAGGTTGGTTTGGGTGCCTTCAAGCATTCGGCTCGGTAACTTAACCTTTTTCTTTAAACAACATGGTACAATTAGAACAACAGTTTAGATGAGTTTATTAACAATTTTAATTAGACTATCATTCTGTTGTAAGGGGTTTGGATCATAAATATGTTAATCCAATCTCAATTAGAAATATTTGTTGCAGCCTAGGCTACGAGAGTGGCCCGAGACCGCAATCAGACTGAAAACAATAAAAAATAAAAAGTAAAATAATAATATATTCTTAATCGTTATTTTAACTTTAGTTTTTGTTTAAAATTTGGTAAGAAATTCCTTAAAACAACAATTATTTAGTTTATGATTTTGCATAACATAGTGTTTTTTCATTGTTTTTTTTTTGTTTTTTAGGAGCCTGAGACCTTCTTTGGCACTTGTACACACTTGCCTCCCGAGCAAACAAGGTGATGTGAACATCCCCACTGGTTGCCCAGGTTGTAGCAGAATAAAATTTTTATTAATACATTTCATAAAATTATCCAAACGTGCACAAAAAAATAGATGTAGTTCAAAGTGAAAACTCATTTTTCGTTGAAAACTTGTTAAACGAAACTTGAAATTTTAAAATTGGAAAAACTTTGGAATGATGAAATATTTTTTTATCTTTCATTTCTTGTGGGATTTTTTTTTTTGCCTACCTCATAGCGAGTGTAGGTGTTTTGATTTTTCTTATACTAATGCGCTGTGTAGCCTCGTATACAGGTTCGGGGGTCGGTGATCGAACCCGAATGTTTACGAATGAACGCAATCGAGCGCCGAAACCCTCCGAATGTGAACATTAAACTATTTATAAAAAAAAACAAAGTTCTCAGAAAAATCTGAAAACAATATACCTTATGTAAAATAATAATACAAGTACTACAAACATCAATTGGCTGGGAGGTATGCTTAAATTAGTAACCAAACTCGAGTTACGAATTAAAAACCATAACAATTTTTTATTATTATTTTTTTTTTGAAATATGTTCGGTCGAACACGTTCGGGAGACGTTCGACTGAACACCCCAACATATTCAAACGTTCGACAAAGCTCCGAACATGTTTGGTGTGCTACATAGCTAATGTGTATATTATAAATTAAGTTGAGTCACTTTTTTTCTTTCTCTAAGTTTTGCTTACTATGCTTTCATAGCTTTCAGCATTTGCAATTCATGAATTGAGACAAACATTTGCTTATTGTTTTTTGCATGTACTCACTTGCACTCGAAACCTTTCTACATATGTGTGGACCAGGTTACGTCCTTGATATGTAAGCAGTGTTTGTCCTTTGTTACTTTGAGAATTACTTCGGTGGCCGTTTCTAGAGAACTTTTGTAGAGCGGAGTACCGTGAAATATGAGTGGGGTGCTTCGGCCGGGTACCTTCACAATTCCCATTTTTTTGGAAAATATAGGTTTTTTGGCTTTTTTGTTCTGTTGGTCTTTCGTTGGTTTTTCTGGGGCTTTCTGTGGCCTCCTAGGAGCGGTTTTTTTTTTGTCTTTCCTTGGGCTTTTCTGGGGCTTTCCGTGGCCTCCTAATAGCGTTTTTTAAGCGTGGCGTAGATAGAGAGAGGGGATGACAACTTAAATTAGCGCAACGGTGCATTTGATAGTCCTCTTTTGCCTGAAGGGCGTCGGCGTGACCGAGGGAGCGATTGGTTCGTGGTGGTGGTTGTTGGGAAGGCGGTCGGTCATGTCCATTTCGTCATCAGTGACGCCATCGCTATTTCTTTTGACCATTGTTGACCAACCACTGGTTGACGTGGTGAAAAAAATTGACCATTGTTGACCAACCACTGGTTGACGTGGTGGTTTATAACGAGCGGTTGCTTTGATGATCTCTACAGTTGTATTTGGGCCTTGTCCCTCTTGCTGTTCACTGTGTATTTGGCGTACATTCGTGTGCTTGATGTACAGTCTTCTACTCCTATCATCAAGGGTCGCAACCAACTGGGCGATCGTACCCAGTGGAGGTGGCGACGTAGTATTACAAGAAGCTTGGTGCGAAGGGCGACTTCGGTAGTTGTGTGAAGAATTTGTGGTTTGACAGAAGAGATTTACGTCGAGATGAGCGACGAAGTGGAGTCGAGGCGTGGTCATGAAGGAGGCGGTGCTCTTCTGCCGGATGGGCGGCGGTATTATAAATGTGGTGAAAGTGGTCATTTCATCAGTGATTGCACAAAATCCTGGAGAGCGAGGGTGCAGGGTAGAGCTTTCGTGCCTTTGGCACCACCACCGACTGCACAACGGATGGGAAGAACCGCAACCGGAGGGGATGCTGCTTTTCGGAGAAGTAGATCGACAGACAGTAACGAGCGTGGGCGGAACACCGAGGATACCAATACTCTCATACGGGAGTATTTCGTGCAAATGGCAGAAGAAAGACAATCGAACATGAAAAGGGAAGAGGAAAGACGGAGGGTGGACGATGAGGCGCGACGAGAGAAAGAAGCTAGGAGAGCTCTGAGGGAGGAACAGAGACGGCGGCAAGAAGAAAAGAGGGACGTGAGGTTAATGTGGATAATTCGTGGTGAAATGAAAAAGGAACAGGAGGAAGACTTAGAGCGATACGCGATTAAAGGGAAAAAAATTGTGAGAACGATGAGCCGGACGGATCCAGCAGAAGACGAAAAGGAACGATTACGTAGATGGATTGCGCAGCGTACCTCTGGGGGGAGACGGAGGACGAAGAACTTTTAGCTTTACGCAAGCAGGCGGCGAAGCTAGAGCTGGTGGAAAAGAGGAAATGCGGCCCGGATTTGCCAATCGGGAACAGCCCCCCGATGACTACTCCAGAGAAGAGAACCAACGTTAAGATTTCAGATGAGGCGAAGGCCTACCTTGAGTCAATCAGAGGCGATGTGTCGAAGGAAGTGGCAACATCTAGCACACCGAATAAGATTGATCTGTCGCTGAAACACATCAAGGCGTCTTGTGGACCGGGTGGAAAGGAGAAGTTTAAACAAGACTGCAGTGAGTTTTATGACGCGTTTACCATCGACGAACTCAAAGAGGCGTGCCGGCGAGAGAAGATTGCGTATGGCAATCATGAAATGGCGATCAAACGATTGCTCATTCGTAAGGCAGTCGTGGCCTATGATCCGTCAAACATCCCATTGTTCGTGACTCCTCGAGTCGCCACGAGATCTAGCAAAGGGGTTTCGATAAAAGAGGAAGCCAAGCCTGCGTCCTCGGAGTCAGAACAGTTCTTGAGCGAGGATGAATCGGAGTGAGGCGTTTGTCGTTGCGATAACGTTCTCGAGAAGGCGGCTGAACTAAGTGATCTACGTCGACTGCAGCTGGGGAAGAGTAAGGATGTTGAGAGGCAGTTTAGAGCGACTGTCATTGGATTGATTCTGTTGGGGAAAGTGAGATGGGGAGGGAAATTTGTGAATTACTAGAATGATGAGTTAGATAGGGGGACCTTCGACCTTGTCGAGCCAAAACAATGTGTGTATATTCTTATCTAGGCGTGCTAGGAAAGTGTACAACTGGTTGGGGAAGGTTGGTGCTCACAAGTACGTTGCTCTACCCGTTTTCAACAGTAATGATCGGAAAGAGTTGGAGGCTGTGGAGACTGCTTTGATTAAAGACTGGTCTCTCTCATTGAACATTAGATCGGTCAAGTCGAGACATGCTACTAAAAAATCTAGACACTGGTCCGGAAGGAAAGAACGAGGGAAGCAAGTTGAATCAATACGCGCAAGGATTGGCAAGTTTGAGAGAGATTGTGGGAAACTCCTCGAGCTTCGGATTGGTGAGACTAGTACCGTGAGGATCGTTGACCTATTGCGCGATCTAACGTGAAGGAGAGGTGTCGTTCAAGTAGAGAGTAATGGTGGGAATGTCTGGTCGGATGGATGGAAGTTAGTGAGAAGATTATTCGGGGAGTCTCGAATTAAGTTTGGACGTGGGACTAGTCCACTGAAGCGGTGCAAGAAAGTGTTGGAGACTTAGGGGGTATTTACTTTGCGCAAAGTCATCGAAGCTTCACCTGCAACACTGGCACTTCAGGAGGATTTGGTACGGATGCTTAGGAAGCGACGAAAACAAAGAGAATTGTAGTATAAGAGTTTGACTGAACTTGTCCGGTATTACATTGTCGTAAAAACGTTTACAGCAAAGCGCAGCTGGTCGCAGGCACGATGTATGATTTCGAGGGTGATTCGGAATAAATTTGACCTGAATGTAACAACTAGGATCATTGTTAAAGTTCGGTATGACCACAAAATTAAGAAGAGTGAGGTAATGCGAGTAGTAGAGAGGAAGGTGGGTAGTTCGAGTATGGAAGTTGCTCTGAAGGAAATGGTAAAGTATCGGGCACTCGTTGTATGGAGGAAGAATCCTACGATGGGTGATATCCTCCACAACCATCGACATTTTGTATCGATTCATGTTTCCAGCTGTACATGTGCTGGTATGACATACCCTAAGAAGGATGGGCACGTGCATTTCCGTCTGAGTGAGCTGAAAGATGTTCCGGATATTGTGAAGAATGCGAAGAACCTACCCAAATTTGAGAATAAACATCGAGATCGGATCTTGAGGGAGGAGCTGACGGAGACTTTCTGTTCATGGGGTGGCAACCTGAAATTGACCCAAGATGAGCTCATATGTGATAACAAAGACGTCAGCGATTGTTTGGTTTCAAACCAGGACCCGGGATTTGAAAATAAAATAAAGCTAGCGACGACGCTTCGTGATCGTTTTGAAGGCTTGGTGAGGGCTCCCCTGGATCGTAATCCAAGGGATACTCTGGTTCTGTGCCCACAAGTCTACTACAATGGTATGGAGGAAACGTTTTTGTTGAGTGATGGGTATCGTGTATGTGCTTCGGATGAAGATCAGATGCTTTCGACAGCAAAGCTGAGCAAAGCTGGAGTATGAGAAGAGGGGGTTGTACGCTCATGGAAACTGGGACAGTAAGGGCAAAGTAGGAAACACGTATGTGTTACCCAAACATAAAGATACTGCAAAATATCGCCCTATTTGCCCCACATTCAGTGAGCCATCAGTTATGGCTTGCAAAAAAGTGGCAAAATATATAAATGGGCTCCTATACTCCTTGCCTGAGTCTGGACACTTTAATTTGAGATCGGTATCTGGTTTGAAGGGTAAATTGAGGCAGTTGAACGATCCGCTTGGGAAGCAGAGAGGTGATGTCAGGATTTTGGGAGCATCATACGATATAAAGGATATGTTTAGTCGACTTCCTCACTCGTCGATTAAGTCAGCTATTGAGTGGATCGTGTAGTGGTTTTCCGAAAAAGGTTTTGAAGGGATTTTGTACAAAAGAGAGGTAGACGGGCGAGGTTGAGTAAGTGTCGACAGTTGGAGGGTTGGGACTTTGTTTCTTTTGAGTACATTGTCTCCTTTGTTTACTTTGAACTGGAATTTTGTTTCACCAGAGCTTGTGGGATGCTGCTGCAGCAAGTAACCGGCATACCAATGGGGAAAAGCTCGAGCCCCCCGTTGGCATGCCTGATGTGTGCAAAAAGTGAGTGAGACTTTCCAATTTCTTTAGGGAGTCAGAGACGGGCATTTGGTGGAATGAGGTTCGTCGACGATGTGTCATTGTTTGCGGTCTATAACCCGAGGAGAAAGGGAGAGAAAGAGAAGGCGCTAATGGTCTTGAAAAAGTTTGAGGAGTGTTATGACAGAGTGCTGGCCCTCAAACACACAGACAGGGGTGAGGAAAGTTGGACTTTCCTTGGCTGTAGATTGACGATCCGGCAAAAGTTTCCTTTTCTTGGCACGGTGCAGATTCCGAAGAACGAGCGATAGTTGATGGAGGGGGGCGAACTGCCATTCATAGTCTAGTAAGGAAGCCAAAATGGCAGTGATGTTGGAAAATACGGGTTGTTTGGCTTTTTTGTTCTGTTTGGTCTATCGTTGGTTTTTCAGGGGTTTTCCGTGGCCTCCTGATAGCGTTTTTTGTTTGGTTTTTCCTTGGGTTTTTCTCGGGCTTTCCGTGGCCTCCTGATAGCGTTTTTTCAGTGTGGCGTAGATAGAGAGAGGGGACGACAACTTAAATTAGCGCAATGGTGCATTCGATAGTCCTCTTTCGCCTGAACGGCGTCGGCGTGACCGAGGGAACGATTGGTTCGTGGTGGTGGTTGTTGGGAAGGCGGTCAGTCATGTCCATTTCGTCACCAGTGACGCCATCGCTATTTCTTTTCACCATGGTTGACCAACCACTGGTTGACCTGGTGAAAAAAATTGACCATTGTTGACCAACCGCTATAATGAGCGGTTGCTTTGATGATCTCTACAGTTGTATTTGGGCCTTGTCCCTGTTGTTGTTCACTATGTATCTGACGTACATTCGTGTGCTTGATGTACAGTCTTCTACTCCTTTCTAGAGTCTTAAACTATTCAGTCTTTGTTTGATAAAAAATATATTTTTTGTTGTATTTTCGTTTCCTTACTTACGTAATCTAGTTTCTTTCTTTATTCGTACACTTCTTCACCTTACATATGATTAGAGTATCAACAATGCATATTGGATTGCCTGGAGAAGTGAGGCTATGCCTCCTTGCACGACAATCAGACCACGAAAAATTAATACATTTATTTTTTTTTTGTACCTTTTTTTTCCCATTTTTTGTAAACGTTGCACATTTGCGTTATTCCTGTATTACATCTTTATAAATCTTACCAACATAGCTTCCTTGCTCTCCTGATTTGAAAAATAGTTACAAAGAGGAAATTTGACAATCTGTAGCTTAGGCGATATTTGTCAAAAAATCTTGATATGTTTATATCGAATCAAGGAAGGTCGATCAGTTCACCAAAAGAGACGACAATAACCTATATGAATTTCACAATGTCATGTTGATTTGACCAAATAAAGTAAGGATCTTTGTTGGTTCTATATTACGTATGGAAATAGACTTTAAAAGCTTATTTAATAAAAATATGTTTGTATGATCGACTCTAATATTTTTCGAAGATAGTGAGGTAATTATTATTGTAAAACTTTGATAAATGCATTTATGTTTTTTAAAAAAGAAAATAATAAAATTATACAAGGACATGCTCTTTAAACTTCTTTAGCCCCTTTGAAATCAATTTATATCCCCCCCTTTGAAAACGAACTCGCAAAAATCGAAATGAGCCCGGATATAGGATCCTTTAGGAGAGCGCAAAAAATAATTTAAACAGTTTATTCTTATTATGTCTATTATTGTTTATTCTTTTTTACACGCCAAGGTACCCCAGTTATCACGCCCGGGTGCCCGGCCAGGCAGGACCGGCCCGGAATAAGATCTTCCTAGCCATAAGTCTCAGTATTGGATGTAAGTATGATGAGATAAAATTTTGAGATTTAAATAATAATTCTGTAATGAAATTTCACTCTAAATTTTAAATTTTTATTCCATTTTAAAAAATGTCATTCAATTCTTAAAAATTTTCTTCTTACTTCAAAACTTTGATTCCTTGAATCGGGTGTCGTTTCTTCTTTGAAATACGTGCTTGAAATAAAATAAAAGTCTTGGTAAGTTTATCTACGTTACTGAACGTACACGTACGGGGCCTTTCCATACAAAATGTACAAGTAATATCTATACGGGAACCTTTACGTGTTATACTCCCCCGTATGAAGGAAAAAAACCATCAAAAAAATCCGAAAAACAAATATGTGCTGGAATAGCACAATACAAGCAATATTTAACTAAACATTATCTGCAGATTCTTATTCAAATTTGAAAAAGCAAAAAACAAAAACAAAAAAAGTCATACAGGACCTAGTGTACATGTAGCGTACGAGTTAGTAGTACGAC